ATTAGAGAAATTTTTCTGTACTACTTCCCATTTAAAAGTTATAAGCAATATCGTCATAAAGAGTCTCAAAAGAAATACCTATTAAAAATCACCTTAGCGGTGGAAGGATCAAGTAGTCGTTGGAAAATAATTGAATGTTCGTTGTTTAAAGTACATAAATGTCACAAAATACTTGTCATTATTCAATACGAACGCCTCATTCCTGATCACAGAACCTAAGATTTGAGGCGACCTTGTGACGCAATGAAGATGCATTTTCTGTTGGGAAAAATCAAATAATAATTAACCGAAGGGTAAGAAACAATGTTAATACAGCTAGGAGAGGAGAGGAGAGCTAAAATTCACAATTACAGCTCCTTTAGCTTCTTTAGCTAGGAGAGGAGAGACTCTAAAATTCACAATTTGAAGTATTTGCCTGAGCGTTATATTGAAAACAGATTTAATTTTATAGCTCAAATTGTAGTAAATGTAGAAACTGTTAATCAGAACCACTTTCGGCACGTTCTTTGGACGGACGGAAGTGGGTTTGTCAGTAATGGTTTGCCAAACAGGCGCAACGAACACTACTGGTCCATTGGTCCATCCCCACATTGTAAATCCAGTTCAAAATCAAGGCCATTTTGGAGTAAATGTATGGTGCGGCATCATCGGTAGGCAATTAATTGGGCCTTATTTTTATGAACATACATTGAACAGCGTGAATTACCTAAATTTCCTACCAGAAGAACTTCCTCACTTCTGGAGAATGTGCAGCTAAGGAGAAACTTACTGTTTCAGCACGACGCGGCTCCACCCAACAAGGCCAGAATTGTGCAGCAATATTTAGATAAAACTTTCCCAGAAAAATGTATTGGGCTTATTGGACCTATTCAGTGGCCCGGAAAGTTACCAGATCTAACACCCCTTGATTTTTTTATGGGGGGTTTTAAAAAATAAGGTTTACAAAACACCTTCGCGAGATATTAATAATTTGAAAGAAAAAATCACAAACGCTTGTAATGAGTTAAGCGGCGAAATGTTAATAAACGCAGCCCATAAAGAAGTCACGCGAAGATTGGATAAGTGTCTTGAAATGAGAGGAGGTCATATAGAAAATATATTGTAATATATGTAGTATGAAAGCGTTTGCCTCATTTTTTAAGTTTAGTTATTGTTATCATGCCTCATTTTTTAAGTTTAGTTATTGTTATCATCACCTTTAGTTTTAACTCTATTAAAGAATTATCGAGTTTAATCCTTTTATTTATTCTTAATGACATTTATGCACTTTAAACAACGAACATTCAATTATTTTCCAACAACTACTTGATCCTTCCACCGCTAATGTGATTTTTAGGTGGTATTTATTTTGATACTCTTTAGGACGATATTGCTTATAACTTTTAAACAGAAACATTTTTCTAATAATAGTTTATTACAAAAAAGAGAGATTTTTAACAGGAAAATTGGGTATGTTTCTGGAAAAAATATAATTTATGACGTCATGAGTCGTTTCTGCCAAAGATAATAGTTTCGATTAAAAATGGAGTTTATCTCATCCCATTTAACACCACGTGTCCCAAATGTTATTTAATTTTTTTGTATCCTCACAGTAGGCCCATACTGTCGAGATTGAGACACCCTGTACATACCTACCTGTTTAATATACAAGACTACTTAAATATTTTATAAAAAATAAATTACTGGGAATATTAAAGCGCACAACAGTGGTGTAGTTTGAGTAGAGAGTTTCGGCACAATAAGCCGCTTACAATCCAGATTGCAAGAAGACATCAATAATGTCGTTCGCCGATAAAGATAAAATGAAGCTGCTCTGATAGGGGGATGTGAGAATTTATCTCGATGAAAATCTTCCACAGCACTGGATTAGATGGGTATGCGACGGCAATTTTCTACTTATACCAACGATGATAAATATATAAAAAAATAAGCTTTTAGCGGTTTCTTTGACGTTGAGGATATAATTCTGTGACCTTAGATCACATGGCCTTTCAAGTTGTTACTATGGACCATAACACCAAATAATTGTTATAAAGGTAACATAGCATAATGTCCATAATATCTGCATAAAATTAATTGGATTCAAAAACAGGATTATTATATCAAAATAAAGAAAAAATAAAATAAATAAATAAAAAATAAAACGAGTAAAACATTCCCCTAAAAGAATTCCTTCAGAATTCTACGATCAAGGGCTGGGCGTGAAACAGTTTTTGAGCGAGTACTCAAAAACAATTGAAGAAATAAACTTAAAAATTTGAATAAAAACTAATCAGTGGCCTTGGAATTAGAAAATCCTAATAAAAAAGCAATATCATATAGCAGAAATTCTTCAGACTTGCGTAAAACATTCCTAATTTAGTTTTTTTCATAGATGCAATCTAAAAATTCGAAAACCATGACAACATAAATAAACTCATGCCAGCAGCATGTCTAGGTAAGGGTCGGTTATTTTACTCTATATTCATTGAACAATCTGCAGGTAACATTTAATCCGAACAAGCACGAAATTCTACTGATATTCACTTCGCTACTAAATTGTTATGGTTTCACAGTTCTATTGAACGCAATTTTTACAAAATTGTTTATACATGATTGTCGCAATATTTTTTCAGTACCTGATTTCAAATCAAATCATTATCATTTCTAAATTGTTCTATACATTTATTACTATTCCTATACTGATTCTCCATGTGAAATTAATCATGGCAAAAACTAATTAAAACAAAATATGACAAAAAAACTGTTTCATATTAGCTGTGAAATCAATAATTTAGGCTGTATCCATGATGCTGTACGACATCATTCGAGCGACATGTAGTCTCGATGTTGCGATGTTAATAAATACGGCTTCATATACCTTTGAAGGATATGACTATAAAAAATATGGTCGCAACATCGAGGCAACATGTTGATGTTAATGATTTCCATGTATATTTTTACGTAATAGCGTTAAACTCTTTGTTTTATTTTTTAGCCATAATAACAAGGAACACATGATCAAATAGATGTAATATGTGTAAGAAGACTTTGTTTTAGTTGCCATTGATCGTCTAGTAAAAAAAGTCTGTAATTACTTGTTTATTTCTGATAGCTATGTATATTTTATTACTATTTTTTTTATTTAATTAGGTATTTCTGCGAGAATTAATTATTTTATTTTTTCTTTCATAGCGGCAGAGACACGTAATTAAGCAAAAAATAACAAACATTTTTCCAAGGCAAGACTTAATTTATGGCAAATTTTTATGGTTGTATCTTTCATTATTACAGATTAGACTTTATATCATTGTAATCCTCGAAAAGCTTTCTAATAAACTGGTAAACATTTACAGGGTGTTCCATCTAAGAAATTATGTGTTTGGCTGTCCATTTTTTTAACGTGTTCAATTGTTTTGTAGAAAATATCATTGAAAAATAAATTTTTTGGCTAATTATGTTCGAATACGAACAATGTCAGAAAAATTTGAATTTTCATTAATATTCATAATATTTGCGACCTAATAACACAGTTCGCTAACAAAATTCAGAGTTTTTCAAGTCCACACGGATACGAACAATATTAACTAATATTGTCCGCTAACAATGAAAATGTTCGAGAAGTGTTAATACAGTTTAAATTTTTTTGCATCCTATTAACAACACTGTTCGCTAACATAATTCAGTGTTCCTTCAGCAAGCGATATATTTCTGAATGTTATACAATTTTTGTCAAGTTCATTTCGGACCTTTCCTTGTACAAAAAATACGTGCAGTATATAAGAAAATGTAATGAAAAATTCAAAATGCTTGCATTACGTTTTGTTATAACATTAGAAAATATGAACATATATCTACAGTTTTAAATGGTTTAATCTACAACTACATGAACGTTTTGTAATTCATCTAGCCTGTCCTGTATATCGCAGCTTTAGCTATAACTCTGCAAATGTATTAAATTCGATACCAATAAACATAAAATTATCTTGTAACATTGCTATATTCAGAAAAAAGATCAAAGAATTTCTTGTACTTAGTCGAGGCCTTACATAGTTATTTCTGATTTATATTTTTTTATATTGTTTTTTTCTTTTGGAATTATATTTGTATGAGGGTGGTTATACTGAACAACTCTGTTGGATATCGCCACTCATTTTGATATATTTGTTATAATCACTTTTTTGATATGCAATAAAGACCACATTATTATTATGGTAATGTAACAAAACTAATTAAGTTATGTGAACAATACAACGAAGAAATAAGACGTTTGGTGGTATCACACAAAAGTGAATTTGAAAGCGAGCTCTCAAGAAAAAAAAATGGTATCTCTTCTAGCGGCATACCGTGGAAAAATGTCGCTTGAATGAATGAATTAGAGCTATAGCTAACGTAGGTGAAGTATTTTTTTAGCACAATTTAGGAACATTTTTTGACTTCATTCAAACGGATAATTATTTTTAAAGTACCGTAGAATTAAAATGTACTGAATACAATCCAAAAAAATAAAGTAAATGAAGAGGTCACGTTTAATGTATCCTTTAAACTGTCGATTAAAACTTCATATACCTCGAGAATAATTTTTGACATATTTTTCTTGAAATTCTATACAAATACATTATTTTATAAAGAACATTTTGCAGTCAATAGCCTAAAAAGTAAATGCAAGTAAAAGCTGTTTTTTCTGGTCACTTAATATTCTTTCCAAAACTTTAATCCCAATGAATAACATCCTGCATTAAGCTTAAGATACCAAAGTTTATTGCATAGTAACTATTACGTCATGAATTTTTTCATTTGAATAATGTATATTAAATTCATTTTAATATGGACGCCTCATCATGTTAACTAACATGATGAAACATTGTTTGAGAACAATATTCGTTAACTTTGACTAGTAAACGTTGTAAGTGAACATAGTTAGGTAACAATCAATGTCGAATCAGTATGGTAACAGACGACCCCTCAACATGCGCACGTCTGTGTTTCTGAATTCAATGCAATTAATTTTTCAAACATACCTGACACGCGCACACTTCTCCGAATCCGCCTTTACCCAGAACTCGGTACATCCTGAAGGTCTTGTAGGTGACCGACTGTGATTCCAGCCACTTCCACTGGAGGTACCGGTGGAAGTACATGGACTTGGTGAATTCCTGGAACGGTTCTCCCGCCAGGCAGTCTTTAACAGCTTGCATGCACGGAGCAAAGAGATCCTTGTGTCCGTTGGTGAGTTTATCGCAGGAGGACACGGCCACCCCGATCTCCGGCAACGAGATACCTTCCTGCCCCTCCGCGCCGACCATGAACTCTTTTTTGATGGAATTGGCCAGCTCCAGGCGCTGCTCGTCGGTTTCGACCTCATAACGCTTGGCGGCGTCGAGGAACTTCACACACCGGTGGTAGCGCGGCCCCTTCTCTTCGCACCACTGGTCAAAAAGGAGCTTGCCGATCGGCTGCTGGTCTACCACATATTCGTAGCGGACATCTGTGAATCAATACACAACCCTACAAGTTAGAATTTTGAGATAGAAACTATTCTGGAATCATGCACATTTTATTATTTGGCGAGTGTACGACCTAAAGTGAAGGTTTAAAATAAAGAGATCAATGAATGGCAAAAAATTAACAACTTAAAAATAGGGAAAATCGATATTAACTTAATATACAGGGCGAGTCAAATCGATCTGATAACTTCAGCAGGTGATAAATACTACTACAAAAAATTTGTCTAAAAATGTTTTTAATTTTGAGATTCTGTATGGGAAAAACAAGGTTTTGAAATTTTTAAAAAATTTATGGTAGGTATCTCCGCATCTCAATCACTGCTTGGTGAAATAATCTGATATTATGACAGTTTGCAGCTATTTGTTGATTCATAAAGCATGCGAAGTTAGGTAGGTAGAAAGTATTATTGCCTTCGGAAATTATCTACAGGGTGGGCCAATGGAAACTTTCCACCCCGATTTTTTTGGTTTAAAATAAAAATCTGGGAAAACGCTCGGACACGTCGACTTTTTATTTGAGGGGGAACTATTTTTCAGTTTCTTCATCCCCGTAGCTTTAACCCCCTAGCTGGGGAGAGAACAACCCCCCAAATTTGAATAGGGAATAGGGGTCGTGCCATACCTCTTTTTAAAGGTCTCATCGAGTTCTTTATGACCCTACAATTTCGCCTTATGATTTTTATCCGTAACGAAATAACAGCTTGTCAAAATAAAAATAAATAAAAATAAATAAAAATACTTACTAATTAACATCCATGCAATAATAAAAAATCGATTCTCTATCTCTTCTCTAACATTCTGCAACATATCGGCAGTTATCCTTTGACATTCTACAGTTATGCGTTCTTGCAAAACTTGAAGAGAAGCTGGCTGTTTTATAAACTCTAGACTTCAAATGGCCCCAGAGAAAGATTTATTTAGAGAGTCTCACACTCAACATCCTGAAAAGTTGATTGTCTGGGCAGGTATCTTAGGCAATAACTTGATCGGCCCATTCTTTTTGCAAGACAATTTGACTGGAGAGATGTATCTTACTTTGCTTCGAGACAATATTGTTCCTAGAATAAGGGAGATTATTGCCGAAGATAACTTGTCACAACATGAAGTGTTTTTTCAACAAGATGGGGCTCCAGCCCATTATGCAGCCCCCGTTCGGCAATTCCTCAACCAATATTTTAGAGGTCATTGGATTGGCCGTACGAGATCTATTGAGTGGCCTGCAAGGTCCCCTGATCTTTCCTATCTAGATTTATTTCTCTGGGGCCATTTGAAGTCTAGAGTTTATAAAACAGCCAGCTTCTCTTCAAGTTTTGCAAGAACGCATAACTGTAGAATGTCACAGGATAACTGCCGATATGTTGCAGAATGTTAGAGAAGAGATAGAGAATCGATTTTATTATTGCATGGATGTTAATGGCGGACATTTTGAACAGTTTGTTAGATAAAGTTCACGTGTAGACCTAATTAATAAATTAGTAAGTATTTTTATTTTGACAAGCTATCATTTCGTTACGGATAAAAATAATGAGGTGAAATTGTAGGGTCATAAACAACTCGATGAGTCCTGTTAAAAGAGGTATGGCACGACCCCTATCCCCTATTCAAATTTGGGGGGTTGTTCTTTCCCCAGCTAGAGGGTTAAAGCTACGGGGATGAAAAAACTGAAAAATAGTTCCCCTTCAAATCAAAAGTCGACGTGTCCGAGCGTGTTCTCAGATTTTTATTTTAAACCAAAAAAATCGGGGTGGAAAGTTTCCATTGGCCCACCCTGTATATAAAAATGACACCTTACATATATGCATTTGTCTCTTTATCTTAAATATATCATTTTAGAGCTACACTTTCGGATAATCTAGTTCGAAGGGTAGTGTGTAACTAGTAACACTAAGACAATCTAGACACAAAATGTATTTTTCAGTGAAACATAATCAATACCAGCTAATCATAAACTCCAAAGCAAAACGATTGTTCTATAGAGGAAAATCCTAGGTCAGCTTACCTTAGTCAAAAAATACTTTGTTTAAAAGTTACAGAGTGTTAAAATCTTATTTTTGATATGGTTTTTCATAAATATTTGAGAAATGACTTATTGTATCTGATTTAAGGAAATCAACTGAGTTTCCGAATTATTTCTCAATTCCATACCTTACAATTGAATTTCTTTTAAAATTGCTAGATTTCGTCTAAAAAACGAAAATATTTGCATAAAAAAATAGATTGTAGATATATTAACTTCTACATCTTTAAGGAATCGATTTTCACATAGTATCTTTTTGCTGTTGATTATAAAAATCTACCTACGTGAAGACGTTTTCAGAAAAAAAATGCTTCAATATAACGAACTGAGTAGCTGAAATCGAAGCAGCTTGCAGTGAGACTATAGTTGAGGAAGAGTTCATAACAATATTTTCGAAAAGCACTAACACTTGGATTATAAAAAAGAACTTATTAAGCCTTATCGTATTCGATCAGTATTCAAGATTTAGGGGAGTTAATTTCCAGTTCGGTTTTTTCTTGCTAGTATAGTTAGAGATAGTCTTAATTTTAATATGAAAATTCTTTATACCAATGAACAAAGTTATGAGTCACTAATTTTCATAATGACCATGTCTGTGGCGATGAAAATCCCAACGCTATTCATAAAAGGCATTTGGGTATAACCAGTGACTACATATTTAATTTGTCCCATAAGGACCAAATTATTAAAGCAAGTTTATCTTACAGTTAACTAACTATAATACATTCTAATCTTCTAGTTAGTTAACTGTAAGATAAACTTGCTTTAATAATTTGGCCCTGAAAGACTGTCAAGTAATCCGAACAGAAAAGTTTATTTCAATTTTATTCAAACTTGTCCAATTTACCTGAAGAATTGCTACTAAACCTCCACGCAGAAATGTGTTTCTTCTACATACTTTTTTCAAAATGTGTAAAGATTTGTGAACGAAGTATATCCAGAAACTTTCAAAGGCAATCACATTTATTATAAGAACAGTTGATATTACTTTTCATTATTTTTATTGTTAATGGGTAGTGACATATAATAAAAATTATTTGTAAAAATTGAATTGCCTGACAAAAGTGGAAAAGAATTTTTTCAAAAGCGGAAACTGAGAGGATCCTTGGAAATAATATTTACCGAATCCTTTTAAATCTGCACAATCTTCTTAAAGGAATGAAAAAAAGTTCATGTTAATATAATTTAAAAATCTTTATTTTCTAGATATACAGTGAAACAGATATTTATGAAAAACCATTTAAAAGTAAGACTGGAACTTTTAAATGAAGAAGTATTTTTGAATTAAGGTAGATTTTTTACTTTACTAAGTATTTTTACCTTAGGAATCACTAATTAATGATTGATTAATTATTTCAAATTACATATTACAATGTTCAACAATATGACGAATTTTTATTATCACATCAAAATTTCATGAGTCGATAGAAGAACATATAACCTTATTGAATTTGCGAACGATTTTATATTCCACATTTTAAATTAATTATATGATTAGTTGGCATTATTTGCGTTAGATACTTCGATTCAAAATAATTTTACTATTACTTTAAAAACTACTTCTAGTATTAAATGGTGCGTCTGACGATACGTTATTTGAAGCAAGTAGATAATACATAATATATTGTATTTCTAAATAAAAGTAACCCTAAAATCAAATACATTTTTTGTGCATCCAGGCGGTTCAAATAAGTTTCCACCTGGACTATTTTGCGAATTATCCTCGCACTAATTTTCCACAGGAACGCCGAAACAGGTCAATTTTGGTTGCAAAGAGAAATATAGCTTTTTACGGATTCCACCCCTAATGTGTTAGGCGGGTAAAAACCTTTTCAGAAATTTTAAAAGAGATTTTATTATTCACAGCAGAATTTTAAAGAGCAGTTTTTCAGTTCATGTTGGTTCAAATTTAAAAAATAAAGCATCATTGAAAAAAGGATTAAAAGTTTTAATGTTACCACTGCTACTTTTCTCCTGCTACTTTATTTAAGACTTCTTAAAAAGTTTTCATTTCATCTATAGTACTGAGCGAAAACCAAAACTGGCATGTTGCAGTGTTTCTATGAGAAATTTGTTCTGAAAATAGTGAAAGAAAAAATGTCTCCATTGAGCATCCGGTATATGAGCATATCATGGTCTTGCTTAGTTCAAGATTACAAACATATATGCAGATAATTATATTTATTATTTTTATCTGTATACACTATACAGTGTGTTTCAATTAAAACTTCTCACGCAGAAAATATCGGAATAAAATAAAACAAAAAAACCCGACACACATCGACTTTCTCTTCAAGGTGAGTTCGGTCGTGTTGCATAAATTTTTTAAGTATTGGAAAATGACAACGCTTTGCCAGAAGAGGATGTGTGGTTTCAGCAGGATGGTGCTCCACCACATTATGCCGTAGCTGTGCTGATTTTCTTAAACATAACTTTCCAAATCACTGGATAGGACGCAGTCAATTGAGTGGCCTCCCAGATCGTCAGATCTAACGCCCGTAGACTTTTCTATGGGGACACTGAAAGTCGAAAATTTATGCAACACGACCGAACTATGGAAGCCGAGAGCCCGAGGAATTCCAATTTATTGATTTTTAAATTCCGACATTTTACACGTCGGAAGTTTGAATCGAAACACCCTGTATATACAACAGTGTGTCAAAAATAAAGGAACGTATTCCTTGTCGCAATATTAAGGTTGGTGTTCTATAGACAAGAAATCTCACTTTTAGTAAGACAATGATAGAACAAGAAACTCCATTCAAATTATAGAAATGTTGATATACAATACAATAGTATATTAAACAAGAAGGTTTGAAAACGACTCTTTGCACACGAGCGAGACATATTGGTGGACCGAGCCGAAGGCGAGGTCCACAGTCGAGCCAGTGTGCAAATAGGTTTTCAAATGAGTTTTTTACGATACTTTTTATACGACTGCAAACAGAGACCACAAAAATCAAA